GCATTGTTTGAAGTAATAAAAATCTAGAAAATTATACATTCATAGCACTAAAAAGTATCAACTTGCTACACTGCCTAACTCAGAAGGACTTTCAAGAAACATTAACAAGAGAAAAAGGTGTAGAAGTATGTGTGTTCCTATCGCTATGTTATCTCATTTTGAAAAACAAATACTGACAAAGTATATATGGATCTGTGTATAGTACACACCTCCGTGTACTCTGCCTGTGCATCTTTTAAGTACCAAAGCACGTGCACATACTACATCATTAACATGGGTTTCTTGGGGGGGTTTGATGTGAGTGCAGTGGAGGGGCAAAGGATAACGCTTATGCTTGTGCTGTTTCCCCTAGAGGATGCCACCCTTGCTGACCACACCCTTCCCTTCCTCAACCAATCTCACTTCCTCTTCACCCCAGGCCAGCCATCTCCCAGTATTCCCGGAGTACTTGGAATTTCTGCAGCACTTCCTGTGTCTATCACCTTTATGAAGCTATAATCCGTATTTATTTTCTGTTACTTGCTGTTTTGCATTCATGTATATCTCACAAGAAGGCAATATAGGGCAGTGGTTAGGAACATGGACAACTGAGTCAGACCACCTGGATTTGAATCCCAGCCCCGTAAGTTACTTATTAGCTGTGTGAACTTGGCAAGTGACCTATTTCCTCTCTGTCTCCTCATCTGTGAAAAGTGAATAAAATAGCACCTACGACAGGGCTGCTGAGAAGAGGAGATGACTGAACACCCATAAGGTGCCTAGAACAGTGCCTGGCACCCGGCAATGCCAGCAGGCGGGAGCTGCTGTTGTCAGAATCACTGTGATCTTCCCTATCTAGGCTGGAACTCTTGGAGGTATTTCAAACCACAGATACTCTTTTAGACTTCTTTTGCATCCCCTCCCCATTAGTTCCTATAATAGTGTTATTTCGAGGCCCTCAAATATTTGTTGAGTAAATATATGAGCAACTCTTAGATTTGAGCACTTTGTATAGAAGGAAATTGCTGAGCATATGATTGTCACTTACATGGCAACCAGCAAGTAAATGTCCATGGCTGACCTCACCTGGCACTTAAACCTGTTTTGTCAAGAGAGGAGAATATTTGTCTTAAAAATCAGTCTTCTAGAATAGCACAGAAAGGCCTTGCATTTCTACTTAACGAAGCCATACAAGGAAACTGGCTGTGATATATAGTAAGGAAACCCGAGTCACTGGGGGTGAGAACAATGGAACCAGGCTCCTAAGCTTAGTGATTTACCATCAGCCCTTTTATAACATACTACGTCTGTTTCATATAAAATAAATGCATTAGGCAACACATTTCTCCAAAGTGCTAAATGAGATGCATTTGAAGCCTTAAATAACAGCTGTCATTGTCCATTCCCTGGGGTGTATTGTCCAAGCGGATCTAATGATGGCTTTGTTTCTCTGGAGGTTTAAATGGGTCTGGGGCCTTGTGGGCCAAGAAAGTATAAGTGGTTTAGAAAACAATGAAAACACCCATCTTTTCGATGCCATCCTGCAGACTCTTCCTGCCTTGAATGTTCAAGCTCGCCCTCTTGGCTGGAGCTATCCCATCAGCATTTTAACATGCTCAGGTTTCTCTCATCTTAAAACAAACAAAAATGCACCCCTCAGCCACTATTGCTCTTCTGTGCACAGCCCAATTGCGGGAGGAGCAGTATACACTTATTAAGCCATTTTCTCACTTCCCACCTGCTCCTCAATCCATTCATTCCGCTTTTGCTCCATCAACCCACAAAAATGCACAGCAACTGACTTCCACGCCACTAAACCCCATGTCCTGTTCTCACTTCTCTCTCGAGGAGCCTCAGAGCCTCTCTGCATTTCTCACCCGAACTTCCTTATTCCTATTCCCAGCTTGCAGTTTATAACGTCAGCAAAGAGGGCGTAACTGTCCACGCCTTTCTGCTATATAGGCACACATATAATCCCTAGCCATGTGCGTTTATACATTTGCCTCTTCCGAAATTATTGGTCAAATTACTTTACGATTTCCTTGTTTTATTTGACATTATATCCTAGACAGTCTATAAATCAGAACATGCATTTCTAGTTCTACCTTTTTTTTTTTTAATTTTAGTATATAAATGTATGTATATTCAGACATAACTTTGTTAGGTTAGCACGTTAGATCAAGTCATTACAAATTACAGAGAAAAACTCGACTTTGCATCAGAGGTTCTCTTGAGAGTTTCCAGTGGGGCAGGGATAGTAGTGGTGGAAATTGTGAGTGCACAGATTTCAGCTCAATATGATTCAGAGTGAGCATAATTTACCCTGGTCTCAGGCCCCATCCCACTAGAGCTACATTTTTTTTTTTTTTTTTTTTTTTGAGATGGGGTCTTACTTTGTTGCCCTGGCTGGAGTGCACTGGCAGGATCTTAGCTCACTGCAGCCTCCGCCTCCCAGGTTCAAGTGATTCTCATGCCTCAGCTTCCCCAGTAGCTGGGATTATAGGCGCACGCCACCATGTAACCAGCTAATTTTTGTATTTTTAGTAGAGATGGGGTTTCACCATGTTGGCCCAGCTGGTCTCTAACTCCTGGCCTCAAGTGATCTGCCCACCTCGGCCTCCCAAAGTGCTGGGATTGCAGGTGTGAGCCACTGTGCCTGGCCCCATTAGAACCATTTTATCTTTAGAGTCGCTAAGCAGCTAACTGAAAAGAGTGGTTTCATTTTCTGTGTTTTGGGTCTAAATATTAAATGAAAGAACATTTACATTGCTAAGCAAGATAAGGTATGACTGCAACACCTTGCAAATAATTTTGCTGTCTCCTTCAGAGTTGTCACCTTGGGAAGTGATAACCACATTCCAACAACAGTGTTACTTCCCAAAGGATTCTTGGAAATTTTCTTTTAGCCTAAGATCTGTCACTCTCTTTTTTCCCTCCAACTTTGAAAGATAGTTATAAACGTAATGCTTGCCTCCGGTGAAAGCTGAGTAAAATCCAGGCAAGCCCGGCTGTGCCCGGACTGCCCCTGCTGACACTGGCGAGGTGCAGTGAGGCCTACCCGGGAGAAGGAGCCCCCCATCTGCTGCCATCTGGTTCATCACAGAGTCCCATTTGGCCCAAATGACAGATCCTTTCCTTATAATTTTCCAACTAAGCCTCTTCTAGGAATCTTTTGAAAATTCTAGTTATCACAAGTATTTTCAAACATCAACCTCTTAAAAGAGTAGCAAAAGTCCAGAAGATTACAAGACTTCTGTGTTTGTTCATTTATAGTAGACAATTGCTTTCAGAAGGAAATTTCCAAAAGTTGAGTTCTCATCATTAACTAGAACAGTTGAACAAAATGAATTTTCCCTTATAAGATAAAAACAGGATTCATAGCAAAAACAAAGCAAAACGAAAAACCAAAGCAAACTGGAAAACCCAAAGGGATGATATAAGAAGGAAAAAAAAACAGATCTCGAGAGGAACTTCTGGACACAATGAAAAAAAGTTGTTAAAAACAAATAATTAAACGTTAATTTAAACTATCATTTAGAATGATATTGAAGGGCCAGGCACAAAGGAGGTGTGACTCATTATAATCTAAAGAAGGCTGCCTGAGTCCGGGAACTGCCTAGGGGCTGGCAAACAATGGCCCATGTGTCAGGTGCCTGCTTTCGTATGCCCGCCAGCTAAGAATTATTTTTGTGTTTTAAAATATTTGAAAAAAGATTTAATGACGTAAAAAAAATTGTATGAAATTCAAATTTTCAGTGTCCATAGTTTTACAGGAACACGGCCACGTTTGGCCACTTATGTACTGCTGACAGCCACTGCGTTACAGCGGCAGAACTGAGTGGCTGTAACAGAGACTGTGTGGCCTGCAAGCCCTAAAATAGCTCCTATCTTTTCCTTTACAGAAAGTGTCTGCCGATTTCTGTTCTAAACCCAATTTTACCACCATCAACTCTTTGTGTGAGCTCAAGCTGGTGTTTTCCCTCTGGCTCCACCTATGTAAACAAAGGGGCCTGGAGAAGATGATAGGGGCCAGGACTCCTATCTGGAGGTCAAGCTCTGCACTGCGGGGCACGGCAGGAAAAGCCAGCAGGAGCACGCGCCCGCTGATGCCACCTGCAGCCCATGAAGAAAATGGCAGGCACAGAGGCCGCCTGCTGAGGAAGCATCTCCCAGCAGATCTCAGCACATCCTCTCTAGCGGGGGCTCTTAAATACCTCTTTCCCAACTGATGCCATCAGTGATCAAAAACCTGGCTTTTACACATTTCAGAAACTGACAGGCCATGACTCCAAACAAAAAACATCGTCTGACATCCACTTTTTCAGTGAATGCTCCCCGCGAATGAAGGCAGGCAGATCAAGTATGACCAGAGGGGACAACAGGTCTTTTCCTTCTGGGTCTCTGAAGGAAAACCATGTAAAATCTCGTCATCTGAAAATCCAACTACAGTCCCCGAGTCACCATTCTTTACGTCATTTCAGAGACTCACATACATTAACTTCTAAACCTTCATGCTCTAAAACACAAGCAAGTAGATTTTTCACAGCTGAGGAAACAGAAATCAAAAGAATGCAAATAACAGAGAAAACTGGTCAGTTCCGTTAGCTCTCAACTAAACCCAGGACCTCTCAAGCCAGAGACTCTCGCCAGGCACCGACACGCCCAGCACTCCCACCGCTGAGGAAGATAGGCCAAGGCTCGTGCCCCTTCAGAGCAAAAGCTCACACAGAAGAATGGTCATTGTTCAGCTTCCCATGAAACCTGAATGGCGGGCAATGCTGCGTCTCTGCTGTGAACCCAGTGAGTGTGGGAGTCTTCAAACACGGCCACTGGGCTCTCCACATGAGACCCCAAGTGAGACCTGAACCACCACCCAGCGGAGCTTTAGCCAACCCCCAGAATTGTGAGAAACAGTGTAGCAGGAATGAAAAATCTCCATTTCTGGACTAACTTGTCAAGGCAGGAAAGAGAGAATAGTTTGGTAAGAGTTTTCTATGTGGTGTCAGGAAACTCCAACTTACTTCATCATCTTCATCTTCATCATCATCAGATTCAAGAACACCATCTGGTAGCTCTTCTATAAAGAAAAAAAGAATCAATGAATAATGGATAAACAGTGGGAGCACTGGTCCACGGAATCTGTCAGCCTCTGCAGAGACAGAAACATCTTTTTTTTTTTTTTTTTTTGAGACGGAGTCTCGCTCTGTCACCCAGGCTGGAGTGCAGTGGCCAGACCTCAGCTCACTGCAAGCTCCGCCTCCCGGGTATACGCCATTCTCCTGCCTCAGCCTCCCGAGTAGCTGGGACTACAGGCGCCCGCCACCTCGCCCGGCTAGTTTTTTTGTGTGTGTTTTTTTTTAGTAGAGACGGGGTTTCACCGCGTTAGTCAGGATGGTCTCGATCTCCTGACCTCGTGATCCGCCCGTTTTGGCCTCCCAAAGTGCTGGGATTACAGGCTTGAGCCACTGCGCCAGGCTGGCGACATAAACATCTTAATGAGAATGAGGTTACATTAAGGTCATCATGCTCCTAATCATCCTAATCACAACCATTTCAGTCACTGTCTGATATCATCGTAAGCAATTTTAAAGAGTAAATCTCTCCATTTTTACCAGAACACAGTTACAGTAGCATGGGAAAAATTAAAAGCCAGCATATAATTTTAGGGGAATTTAAGGGAATGAAAGTATAAAATTTTTATATCTAGGCATCATGCTAGATCCTGCCACACCCGTTATTTCACTTAATCCTTACAAATATTTTGTTGACCATTATCCCCCATTTTACAGAGAGACACAGAGAGGACAGAGACTTCTCGGTCTCACTTCCAGTAAGTGGCAGACAGCTGAGATTCAAACCGAGTCTACTTCTAAACTCCATGATTTTTCCATGGGCAGTATGGGTGGTGGTCATGGCAGGTAGGGTTCCTGAAGGCTGTGTGGTCCATTGCTAGGTCTTTTTAAGAGTTTACAAAAGAGCAGTAAGTTGGTAGCACAACGGAGTTACAGAAACAAAGAGCCCCTGCTTCCTCCTCTGTAGAATAAGGATCGTATCAGTCACTTCTCAGGGGTTGGGAGGACTGCACAACACACCACAAGGGAAGCGCCTGGCCTAGGGCCAGGTACGAAGCAGGCTCTACAGAGGTGCTGGTACTTTCTCCTCCACGAAGTCTTCCCTGATCCCCTTGCTCAGCAGCCATCTCTTCCTCCCCTGAACACGCTCAGCGTTTTATCCAGAACTCCTGACAATTCACGCCACTGCTGGAAGATTGCTGCTTACTAATGAGTGAATGCCTGCTGACTTGTCTCTCACCCACTGCACTGGACTGAGTCCCTGGGGACAGAGCAGCTGACTTACGCCTCCCTCTATCCCTACTACATCTTTCTTATTATCACTTGTTTCTTGAACAAATGACATGAAGGTAAAGAAAGGCTGAAAGAAGAAAGGAAGTCAAATGGGAAGTAGGAGAAAAGAAGGAACCAAAGGCCATACTTGAGGAGAGCACCCAGCTTGTAAAGGTGGCAGGCAGGATGCACCCACATTTGATCAAACATCAAACCATTCCCAGGAAGGAAGATGTAGAAACCCACGTTCTCAACCTAGCGCTCATTCTAAAGGGAAGGACTCCACTGACTTCACTGGACCGAGGCCAGCGGGACACCAAAATGTGCCCCTGCTCACTGAGGCTTGCAGGCCCCACGGGTCGTAGCATTGCTGTGGAATGCCATTTAGTCTAGAAAGCTACTTCCCAGGCATGAAGACGTGATGCCACTCTGCTTTCTGGTTGAAGTTTAATGACTAACTTCCCTATCCACGAACAGCATACGCCATTCCACTTTCAGGAAGTGCTGCTGTACTCATCAGTTATAAACCGCTCATTTTCGAAAACAGAAATGCCTTTTTTAAGACTCTTGGCTATTTTGTAAGGCCACAGATAGCCCAGCCACGCTTCTCTTTCTCTGCCTCCCCCTGCCCAGCTCCCCTTCTCCTGACCCCATAACCTCTTGGCCTGCTGGCTCAGACTCATCCCACCACCCAGAATAATCCTGTCCTGAGAAGTGAAGTGCCTTATAGACCTCAGCACCTCTCTGGGACGACTGTCTCCCATCCTGTTCCCTGAGTTGGTGCACACTTCACGAGATGCCCACACTCTGATAACTAACGCACATGGGGCTAGAATGGCATCATTCCTTTCCCGGGGGCTCTGCCTTGCTCCTGCCCAGTGACATGGCTGGTGCCTCTGTTTTCTCTCTGGCGCTGGTTCCCCTCACTGAGGGCTGGCATTGTGGTCCAGGCCCAAGCCTGAGGACAAATCTCCCTGCTGTTGCTGTTGGCAGCTCACCCTGCGTTGTCAATGTCACCAGCTGGAATTTTCCTTTAGGCTTTGCCAGAATAGTCCTTCCCCACCTGTGGGGTTAGGTCACTAAAATATACTTGAATTTTAATACTTGAAGACCTTAAAACTTTACTGGAAAAATTGTGCTACAAGACTGAGATTGGACTTGGATGTGTGAAAACCCACAGAGATGTTTTCAAGTTTATTAAAATAGAACAAGGAAACCAATACTCTAAATAAAGATGGTGGCAATGCCATTTCACACATCTTAAGAACTGGTACACTAGCAACAATTTGCACTCTGCTATTGATTTCCACTTGAGGATGAAGACAGGCTGGAGGCTCTCCTCCTGGGTTTCATTTTGATTTGATGCTGGTGATGGATGTCGCGAGGTAGTTGTGTGTCTGGTCTTCCACCTGAATGTTCAATCACTATCAAATTTTGTTTCAAAGTGGCGGGCTCCTGCTGCTGTCCTATGGATACACAATAACTTAGGTGCTTGAGATAGAAAGAGAAATACTTGAGGCCCTCTTTATTTAAACAATAACTTACTGAACTAAATAGGTATTTCCCAAGCCTTCCAGAACACCCAGGGTTATAAAGCTTTAGCTCTGCCCAAGACAATTTCTTCCCGAGACATCCCTTACAAAAGTATAAACTGTCCCCTTATCCCACTCTAGCAGACTGGTCCAAGGGCCAGGCTTATGAAAGAGAAAAAAGATGTTTCTTGGGTCAGAGAGTAAAAGGGGCCTACCTCCTGCTTCCTGGCTGCCAGGAAGGAGGGAAGACCAGGAGACAGATGTATCTCAGTGGACTAAAACACACAGGTGGCCTTGAAGAAGATCCTCAGCCTGAATGCACCGAACTCCTGGCCCGGGAGGGCTGGGCACAGCTGATGACTATGGCACGGATGTGCAACAATCCTCCGCGCCTACCCTGTGACCTACCCAGAGAAGGCGGGAGAGCAACCTCAGGCAGGACTGGGTTCAGGTTTTATTTTATTCTTTTTCAATATGCCAGAATGAGGGTTGAGAGTCAGAAATAAAGTTACTGCAGAAAATAAAGTTCTAATTTTTGCCCACCTGAATTTGGGATGAATTATAGCTGTTCCATAAAACCCAAAGAAGAGATATTCAATGCAAATGCGCACCCAGCCTTAAAAGGACAAAGGTTTCAAAGCTCCCTGGCTGCTCTCCTCAGCTGCCTCCTTTTCATCGGGACCCCCTTGGACATCCTCGTTTCTGCGACCCAGGCAGTGATGCTCTGCCTTGGCTGCACATGGGACCCCCACTGGGAGCTTGAAATCCCCTCCCTGAGAGGTTCTGATTTAATTTATGTGGGGTACTGTCTTAAAAGATTTAAACATCCCCCCCAGTGACTGCCCTGTACAGCCAGACCGAACCCCGAGCTAGAAGAAAGGCCACCTGGGGGCTTCTGGCCTTGGCCGAGCAGCTGACTCGAGACTCACTCTTCACTTTCTGCTCATGTGCGGAAGGGATTCACGCGTGCGACTTGCAGTGATGTGGACTGATGGGTGTCAGGGAAGGGCATGGAGAGAGACTCGGTGACAAACCTGGCCCTGGATTCCAGCAGTGCTTGGCACCTCTGGCAGGAGAACGATGTCAGGAGTCCACAGAAAGAGCCAAAGAACTTTCCCCACGACCTCTGCCCCATCCCAGGCTTCCTGGCCTTTCTCTCTCCTGCTGACTATGGGATGTGGGTTGTTATGGTAATGGAGGAGCCTGGATAGAAAGAGGATCATATTGCCTCCTTCCACACTGCAGTTGGCAGCATCAGTGTTTCCGGAGTGAATAAATAAAAGTGGGAAAATGATGAAGTTTCCTACAGTAGCATTTGCTTTCATTATCGAACCCCTGGACCCTGGGGAAGCCACCTTAATAGTGAGTCAGGATTTAGGAGGGGAAAGGGAGAGGCCACATAAAGAGAACTTACAAGGTTAGGGAAGGGTTTCTGTAATTGCTTTTAAGTTTTTTTTTGTTGACTATATGCCTAGAGTATGATAAGAGATTGTTAATCTTTGGACAATCTGGCCTTGACTATCTGGCTGAACCTTTTTTTTTTTTTTTTTTTTTGAGATGGAGTTTCGCTCTGTCGCCCAGGCTGGAGTGCAATGGTGCTATCTCGGCTCACTACAACCTCCACCTCCCAGGTTCAAGCGATTCTCCTGCCTCAGCCTCCTGAATAGCTGGGACTACAGGCATGTGCCACCACGCCCGGCTAATTTTGTATTTGTAGTAAAGATGGGGTTTCACCACGTTGGTAAGGCTGGTCTTGAACTCCTGGCCTCAGATGATCTTCCTGCCTCGGCCTCTCAAAGTGCTGGGATTACAGGTGTGAGCCACTGTGCCTGGCCTACCTGGCTGAACTTTTGTCTATGGGTTCACTGGGTCTCCCCACCTCCCTAAAGGCCTTTTTTTTTTTTTTTTTGAGATGGAGTCTCGCTTTGTCACCCAGGCTGGAGTGCAGTGGTGCAATCTCAACTCACTGCAACTTCTGCCTCCTGGGTTCAAGCAATTCTCCTGTTTCAGCCTCCTGAGTAGCTGCGACTACAGGCCAAGTCACCACACCTGGCTAATTTTTGTATTTTTAGTAGACACGGGGTTTCACCATGTTGGCCAGGCTGGTCTCGAACTCCTGACCTCATGATCCGCCCACCTCGGCCTCCCAAAGTACTGGGATTACAAGCATGAGCCACCGTGCCCGGCCTCCTAAAGGCCTCTTGAATGAAATGCCATGTATCTTTCTGGCAAATGTGAACAATGCAAAAGACAGATCAAAGATTCTTGCATCAAACTGACCGGAATTAAGCTGCTTGATGATGAATTCTATCTGGCGGATCATTTCAGCGTTGCCTTCTTTGATGAAGCAGCGTAGGATGTCTTCCATTCCCTAGAAGTATTGGCGAGAGTAACAGTTAACATTTCAGTGTTTTGGGGGAAACTACGTTTCAATGAGGTCATCTCATCTAATCCAAAAAATAGTATTTTGGGGAGAGGAAGAGGATATCTTGGGTGGGGGATGGAGAAGAGGAGAGAGATATCTTTATGAGATAGATACAAAAATTCAGCTCTCCCAGCAGGGCAGGGCCAAGGCAGTCATTAGTTGGTAACTATCTCTTTGGCAAGACAAACCTGGCCAGGTGTACAACTGGTCCCACAAGGGCAGAAGGAAAAATCCTTGGCTTATATTAAACATTCTTTTTGTCCTTTTTATAATTCATAGTGAAATAATTTTCTTCTTATTGACTCTCTGGCTGAATTATAACACATTTACCAAAAAAAAAAAAAAAAAAAAAAAAACCACACACACAAAAAAACTATTGTAAAATGTTACCATACAATATTGCCTTAAGTTTTGGCAATATGTTGGTCTGGGGCTCGGTTTTTTCCTATGTTTTCCCTAAATTTATAAACTGCCTTCTGGATTTTAGGGCCAAATATGATAATTGAGAAGTGAAACCATATGCTTAGAGAAGTAAATGAACAAATAGAACCTCTCTTTAAACAGATTTCATTCTTTTTCTATTAAAAGAATTATAAAGTAACTACACTATACATTGTTTATAATAATACCCTGACACCAGAATTCCCAATACTAGCTAAAAGAATTCCAGGGAAAAGTAGGGATGAGATATTGACTTAAGCACATTGTCTAATTCCTCTCCCTCCTCTTCCCTGGCAGGATTTGAACGAGTCTGTACAGCTTGAGCTTATGAGGCCTCTAACCGCTGTGAGGGGAAAGTGCTTCTAGTAATGACCTCAAAACAGAGGAAGTGGAGTCCAGAAGTACTGCCAGAGAAACGGATCTAGTGGCATGTGAGCCCCTGATCAAACTGTGCCTGAACATTTTCCTGGACTTTTCAGTTACATGAGTCAATAAGTTCCCTTTTTATGTAGGCCAGTTTGGAATCAATAGCTCTAACTGAATCAAAGAAATGCCAAGTGCAGCTTTGAACCTGCTGAGTTCTTGTCATCCAAAGCAGAGCATTACCTTCTAGAAAAGTTAAATCAGTATTGTAATTGCAATTAGTTCCCCCATGAATTTAATGTGTGACCTCTCTCAAATCACTTAACTTCATCTAGCCTGTTTCTTCGACTATAAAAATGAGGATAACACTTTGAGTTGACTTGAAATTTTTAGAAGACAAAGTATATAACTGGGTGTTGGTATGCAGATATACATATTTGTCAAGATGCGCTAAACTGCCCCATGTAAGGCCTGTGCTTTTCACTGTTTGTAAATTATACCTGAAGAAATAGCCTCTAGTCCAATGGCTGGCACAGAGTGGATGCTTGATAAATGGTCAAGATTGTGCTTGCTGTGTCCAGTAGGGGTTCGTGGCTCAGGAGAGAGATCTGGTAGCTGAAGCAAAGGGAAGAAACAAGGTTCCCCAGTGATGGCAGTGAGAGAAGAGCAGAGGGTGAGAATAGAACCTTAGGGAACAGTCACACTGAGCCGGGAGGCAGAGATGGGTAAGCTCACAGAGGCGGAGGGGACCGTCTGGAAGGGAGGAGGAACTCTGGGAAGCTGTCCGTGAGTTGAGGGACCAGCAGTGCCCAGGCTCCTGTAGGACCATTTGGACATCTGGCCAGGCTTGTTGTACCAGAGAGACAGTTACCAGCCAATGCCTGCCTTGGCCCTGCACTGCTGGAAGAGCTGAATTGTATATCTCACAAATGTGTCTCTCCCCTCTTCTCCATCCCCCACTCAGTATCAGGGCCACAAGAAGGAGACAGTTATCAAGCAAAAGCAGTGTGATAAGCCCCTTTTAAAAATTTTTACTTATTCACTTATTTTTTGAGATGGAGTCTTGCTCTACTACCCAGCCTGGAGGGCAGTGACATGATCTCGGGTCACAGTAACCTCCAACTCCAGGGTTCAAGTGACTCTCCTGACTTAGCCTCCCAAGTAGCTGGGACTACAAGCATGTGCCACCATGCCTGGTTAATTTTTGTGTTTTTAGTAGAGACAGGGGTCTCGCCATATTGGCCAGGCGGTCTCGAACTCCTGACCTCAGGTGATCTGCCCACCTTGGCCTCCCAAAGTGCTGGATTACAGGTATGAGCCACCATGCCTGGCGATAAGCCCTTAAAGTGGCAAAGATCAGAAGCGCCACTGGCTATCTCAGGAACGTCAATGTCTGAGCATTTTTACCAGTGGAGCGAGGGCCAATCAATCACTCAGGGTCTATCTTTTCTTACCAGACATTACTTCTGCAAGATTATCTGCTCATTATTTGGTTATATATTTAAAGATCTTTGTTTGTTTGTTTGTTTTTGAGACAGACAGGATCTCACTTTGTTGCCCAGGCTGGAGTGTAGTGGTGTGATGACAACTCATAGCCTCAACCTCCCTGGCTCAAGCGATCCTCCCACCTTGGCTTCTGGAGTAGCTGGGACTACAGGTGTGCACCACCATGCCTGGCTAATTTTTACAAAATTATTGGTAAGAGAGAGAATGCCCAGGCTGGTCTCAAAACTCCTGGCCTCAAGTGATCCTCCCGCCTTGGCCTCTCAAAGTGCTGGGATTACAGGCATGAGCCACCATGCCCAACCAGACCTTTTTATTCTCATTTACTCTCTTTCATGTATCTCTAGCGTAGTTATTACTTGGGGGCCGTGGGGGGGAACTCCTCTGTAATGAAGAATTGAAGCTGTCTTGTTTTTAGAGACAGAGTCTCACTATGTTACCCCGGCTGGAGTGCAGTGCCACAATCTCAGCTCACTGCAACCTCCGCCTCCCAGGTTCAAGTAATTCTTGTGCTTCAGTCTCCTGAGTAGCTGGGATTACAGGTGTACACCACCACGCCTGGCTAATTTTTAAAAAATTATTGGTAAGACAAGGAATGCCCAGGTTGGTCTCAAAACTCCTGCCCTCAAGTGATCCTCCTGTCTTGGTCTCTCAAAGTGCTGGGATTACAGGCATGAGCCACTATGCCCAACCAGACCTTTTCATTCTTATTTACTCTCTTTCATGTATCTCTAGCATAGTTATCACTTGTGGGGTGTGGGGGGGAACTCTGTAATGAAGAATTGAAGATTTTTTTTTTTGTTTTAGAGACAGAGTCTCACTATGTTACCCAGGTTGGAGTGCAGTGCCACAATCCCAGCTCACTGCAACCTCCACCTCCCAGGTTCAAGTAATTCCTGTGCCTCAGCCTCCCGAGTAGCTGGGATTACAGGTGTGCACCACCATGCCTAGCTAATTTTTGTATTTTTAGTAGAGATGGGGCTTCTCCATGTTGGCCAGTCTGGTCTTCAAGACCGGTTCAACTCATGACTTCAAGTGATCCATATGCCTCAGCCTCCAAAAGTGCTGGGATTATAGGCATGGGCCACTGCACCTGGTCTGAAGTTTTCTTAATAGCAAATTCTCCAGTGAGAAATATCTTTTTTTTTTTTTGGAGACAGGGTTTTACTCTGTTGTCCAGGCTAGAGCGTAGTGATGCGATCACAGCTCACTGCTGCCTCAACCTCCTGCACTCAATTGATTCTCCTGCCTCAGCCTCCCAAGTAGCTGGGACTACAGGCACGCGCCACCACACCTGGCTAATTTTTGCATTTTTTGTGGAGATGGGGTTTCACCATGTCACCCAGGCTGGTCTTGAACTCCTGGGCTCACACAGTCTTCCTACCTCAGCCTCCTAAAGTGGTGGGATTACAGGTGTGAGTTGTATGCCCAGTCAAAATATCACATATTTTTAAAAAATCACATACATTAGGTAATATTTAATCTAAGTTATAGAAAGAAGTCATAAAACAACCGCATCTCATCCTAAAAGTAATAACTTCTCATTTCAGATAATTTAGGTCAAGTAACAACGCCCAGGTAGACCGAAGGATAACAAAAGGTCCTAGTGAACCATCCAGATGTGTAAAAATGGTAACACAAGCAGTATGCAAAAAGTAAATAAGGAACTCCTGTTCCTGGCAGCTAGCTATGATTAAAGACCGCCATAAAGATAATCCTACAGAAGCCTGTATTTGTGTGTATAGTGTTTAAGAAAACAATTGGTCATGTGCAGACGTCTGACTAGGTGAAAGTCCCAAGCCTAGAGTGACACTGCGGCACAGGTGCAGAGGGCTCTGGAGTCAAACCGTGGTTAGCAGCCCCTCGCTGGCCGTGTGGCCCCAGGCAGAGGATTTCACCTTTAAGCCTTGATGTTGTCAGCAGCAAAAGGGGCACCAACACAGTCACTCCTTCAGGGCAACTTTGAGGGATTAAATGAGAGAAAGCATCTCTTCCAGAGACTGACAACACACACTCAACACTACATAGAACAACTAACTTCGAACTCACTTCTACTTTTACTCAGCTGAACTCTAGCACATTCTATCGTTCCAGCTTCACAGTCTAATCCTCTATCACTAAAGGTCTTCAAGGGAAATTTTCCCCTGAGAAATTCAAATATCTATTTCAGGTAGATATAAATATTTTCCTCTAGTTATGAAAGTGATACAAGTTCTGTATAGAAAACTTGCAAACAACATACAAGAAAGAATAAAAATTACTCACAGGCCCCCACGCAGAGATAATTGGGAACATTTTGAAGTATTTCCTTCCTTTTATGTGCATTGTTTTACATAACTCAGAACATATTGATATTATGTTGCTTATTTAACTTCATGATTATTTTCATGTTTGATAAAAACCTTATAAACCACATTTTCATAGCTATAATAATAATAGCAGCTAACATCTCTCAGTGCTTACTGTGTGCTAGGCACTATTCTAAATACTTTATATTATGAGCTCCTTTAATGCTTACAATTCTATGAGTTTAGTACTGCAACAATCCTCATCTTACAGGTGGAAAAACGATCACACTGAGAGCTTCCAACTAGGAAGTGGCAGAACATGATTCAAAGCCAGGCTCAGGCTCAGGAGTA